GAAGTGATTGGTGATTGGTATTTGTGGAGAAGAGGAGCAAGTGTGGGCAGGAAGAAACTGATAGGCTCAGTAAGGTGGATGGATAGGGCACTGGGTGCTTTGGTGAGGTCTAAGAATAGGTGGGGGATAGGAGGTTATGGCCAGAGATGAAAGTTTATGGTTTCTAAGATGGAGAAAGTGTGAATGATGACAAGGTCCAGATTATGGCCACTGTAACGGAGTTTTGAAGTGGGATGAATGCAATTGTATTTGTTCAGGAGAAGAATAATTGAGGTGTGCACATTATATAGATTGTGCTTTGAAATTATCATAATGGCAGTAATGGCAAGGACGGCAAAGATAATAGCAAGATCTGTTTTGATGAGGTAGAAAAGTCTGAGAGCTTAAGTCCTCATTGAATATGGAAAGTGCGGAGGAAGCGGATTGCATAAGGAACACTAAGGCTAGCATAGTTGGATAGCATCTTTTTCAAAGAGGAGGAGATTTTATGCAAAGGTGGATGAGTTATATAGCCTGGCAGCAGCAGTAGAGGAGCTGGGAGGATACTGACCTCTCCTCTCTCTGGTGTGTTGGAGAAAGGGCCACATTCATTTGATTGGGTATTGTAGAGCAGGTAGTGTTCTGGCAAAATGAAATAGACTTCATGCTATTAATGGCCAGGAGGTGCAAGACTACAGAATTTTTAAATTTTTTTTTTGTAATGAAAGCGTGGAGGTTTCAGAGAGCCCAGTGGAAGAAAGAAGCAGGATGACAGGCTGAGGGTTGAAAATATAATGAAATGTTGAGACAGTAGTTTCAAAACTCATGTGACTGGGTCCCTGTGTAATGTACAGGATATGGAAACAAAACAAAATTAATTTTTAATGGGAGAAAAGCATGTTGTAAATATTAGTAAAATTATTGAAATGCAATGCATCTAGAAGTGATGAAGAAATATAGCCTGACAATTTTAAACTAGTAAAAAGGAAAAATAAAGTTATTTCCGACCTGCATGTAATAATGCATCCACTGGGTGTCACTGTGGCTTCATATTTACTTATACAAATAAATAGCTATAGGAGCTTTGTGTTTGTGGAGTCAGTATTATACAGCTCTTTTCCCTGCTTATTTTTCTGGTTTGCAGTGAATTTTTTTTTTTTTTTTAAAGATTTTATTTTTTCCTTTTTCTCCCCAAAGCCCCCCGGTACATAGTTGTATATTCTTCGTTGTGGGTCCTTCTAGTTGTGGCATGTGGGACGCTGCCTCAGCGTGGTTTGATGAGCAGTGTCATGTCCGCGCCCAGGATTCGAACCAACGAAACACTGGGCCGCCTGCAGCGGAGCGCGCGAACTTAACCTCTCGGCCACGGGGCCAGCCCCTGGTTTGCAGTGAATTTTGCTAATTTTTTTTTTTCTGTTTATTTTTAGGTACAGTTATTTATCACCCTTGCAGATAAAGCAAATACCTATCCCTAAACTGGCTGCTCCAAACTGTCTTGTTATTACTTGGGTGACCAATAGACAGAAGCACCTACGTTTTGTAAAGGAAGAACTTTATCCTTCTTGGTCTGTGGAGATAGTTGCTGAATGGCACTGGGTAAAAGTAAGTTCAGAAGTTAACTTATTTCTTAATATAGCGTGACATATAAGTCACGTAAAGGTAGTATCTGCTTTTTAATTCTTAACATGTCACTGCTCTACTCCTTCAACATGGTCTAATTAAAACTTTTACTTTGATGCTAAATACTTTTGTCTCCTTACTCTCAAGGCGTTTTTTACCTGTTTGTTCTGTGTCTTTTTGTAGTAGAGTCCCACACTCTTGGCCTTAGGAATCACTTAGGGAGATATCAGGATGGCATTTTAAGAAGGTCTGATGTCTGTAGTTAAAAAAACAAAAAAACTTTTGGGAATCTGTCACTAAACACAGAAATAGTCTTACCCTTCATCTTCTTCCTCTTTACACATCCACAATTTCATTCACCCTTTGTGACTTCTTTCCTTCTTTCTCCTTTTTCTTATGTTGCTGGGGATGGGAGGGAAAACAGCAAAGTAACCCAATGTGGGAGGGGTGGGAAGATGGTGGACCAAGAACCTTTCTTACTTTAAATCTTAACTTAGGTCCTCAGTGCCTTTCGTGCTGCTGTGCCTATTTTTGAGAGAAATGATTCCAACTCTTGGATTGGTTGAATGATCTTTAGTATCTCTGCTGGCTATAAGAATACCAAAAAATATAGAAAGATGAGGCCTCAGTTCAGAGTTCATTGGACATCCTTTTAAAGATATATTGTCTACTTAGATAAATTCTGCAAAAGTCCTCCTACATTTTAAAAAGTAAGCCAGGTTATTATCAACTGAATGTTTAATATTTATACAGCTGGTATATTCATTTTAGATAGAGGAGAGTTCTATTTTTATGTGCATTGTGTGTACCTTGAAGTCTACTGGAATATCTTCTAGAAGCTGTGTACACTGTTTATTTGCACCTGTTTCTGGAACTTGGCAAACAAACATTTACAGTTGTATCTTTGCTTTTATCATGTACTTTGGGCTTAACTTTGGTTGATTTGGTATAGGAGCATGACAGGAATAGAAAACCCCACTATGCCCTGTCTGTTATGCCAGTCCTCTTATAGTCAGAGACTGGGGCCAAAGACAGGAAAATGTTACCTTCTGAAATCAAAACTGGTAAAATGTTATTACAGTAAAAACTGAGTCTATTTATTCACTTGCAATAGTAATCAGTTCTAAGAGATGGTATGATTGACCAGAGTTTAAAACAAAAATACAATATATTATATGAAACACTTGAAGGTAATTACACAGATTGTTATAACAGAAGGAGTAATCTGCATTGAGTATAAAGGATATCCAAAGAATAAGAATTTGCCAGTATTTATACAGCACTGCGTGGAAGAGATGCTGTCTCTCATGGGCCCTAGTGGTGATAAAAGGACTTTACTGATTTGGTTTTTTAGGTACCTTGATATAGGGTAAAAAGGTCCATAGATAATAGATATGAATATTCTAACAGTGAAAATATGTATCTCCGTGGTTAATTAATGAATTTATATTGTTATTATAAATTGTGTTTTGAGTTTGATTAGCTTAGGTGAGTCTTTGAAAGTCTGAGGGTGAAATGATAAAATTCAGTTTCTGGGTTTATAATGCCAAGGGATTGGACTAAGTATTGTTTCTCTCATCAATCCTCGAGCTTCTTTCATTATTAATTTTAGTTCTGATAGTATTTAATGACACTATTTCCTATAAATAAAGGAAAATACTTTATTATAGTCTACTTGGTCACATTGCCAGTAATCAGTAAATGTTATTTGAACTTATGAATAAATGAATTAATGATGGCATGGTTTCCAGGAACAAATTTTAATGAAGAGTAGAGATTTTTGTGTGCAAGGTGATAAAATGATGTTTAAAATATTTCTTAATTCCTTATAGCTGTTCTGTCCAGTATGGTAGTCATTAGCCATATGTGGCTCTCAGTGCTTGAAATGTGACTAGTCAAAATTGAGATGTGGTGTTAAGTGTAAAATATACACTGGATTTTAAAGGCTTAGTATGAAAGAAAGAAGGTAACATATCTCAATAACTTTTTTGAATTGATACATATTGCAATGATATTTTAGATATATTAGATTAAATATATAATTGTGATTACTGTTACTGCATTTTTACTTTTTTTTTATTAAGATTATGATAGTTTACAACCTTGTGAAATTTCAGTTGTACATTATTGTTAGTCATGTTGTGGGTACATCACTTCACCCTTTGTGCCCTCCCCTCCCCTCCCCCGTCCCCTGGTAACCACCGATCAGTTCTCTGCATTTTTACTTTTTTTAATGTTGCTGTTAGAAAAATTAAATTATGTATGTGGCTTGCGTTTTGTGGCTCACATTATATTTTTATTGGACAGCACTAGCCTAGAGGTTTAATAATTTCTTTTTCTTTTGTGGAAGATGTAGTGATAGGGGAAAAAAACCCTTTCCTGGATATTTACAGATGTATGATTTTTTTTTTTTCTTTGACTCTTTCCTATCAGATCACCAATTCAGGAGAGTTTGTATTCCCATTAGATTCTCCACACAAAAAGCCTTATGAAGGTCTTATACTGGGGAGAGTTCGAGAAGAAATTGCTTTACCATTAAGGTAGGGAAGATGATTTTTCAAAATTATATAAATGTATTGTTATGCTTTTAAAAATTATTGACACAATGATCATTGATTTTCTTTAATTTTTACATTTTTAAAATCTGAAAATGGCCCAAACTAGATAAGTGTGAATGTTATAGCATGTGAAATTTTTAATATTATCCTTTGTTTTATCTGTAGTTTGTCATTATTGTAGAAAAGAAAATTATTGGAAATGTCTCAATACATAAATTGTTGATTTCTATTATTGTTTCTTTCTTCAATTTATTTTAGATTCAGATACTATTTGAAAGGTGAAAAAAATCAAGGCAATTGTGGCTTATATATTAAAAAATTGCCCTTTAAAATATAATTTGCTTTGTTGTTTTGTTTTAATAGGAATGCAGATGTAAAAATGCTCCCCATTCCAGATCACAAGTTAATTGTCAGTGTGCCCTGTACTCTTCACTCACATAAGCCACCACTTGCTGGTAGGTTTTTATAAAATAGAATTGTTATGACTTCTGTCAAATTGAAAAAAGGATTGAATTTAGTATTTGAATGGTCTAGAGATTTGGAAATTAAGTCAGATATGTGTTATTTTAATTAATATTTTAAAATTTTATAGCAGAATTTATGAATTTTTTTTTTTTGAGGAAGATTAGCCCTGAGCTAACATCTGCTGCCAATCCTCCTCTTTTTGCTGAGGAAGACTGGCCCTGAGGTAACATCCGTGCCTATCTTCCTCTGCTTTATACGTGGGATGCCTACCACAGCATGGCTTTTGCCAAGTGGTGCCATGTTCGCACCCGGGATCCGAACCGGCAAACCCTGGGCCACCGAGAAGCGGAATGTGTGAACTTAACTGCTGCACTACTGGGCTGGCCCTGAATAGTTTTTTTTTTTCTTTTTGCTGCAGAAAGATTTATTGTTTCCATTTGGTCCACAGCTTGGGAGGGGCCTCCAGGCTGGTTAAAACGCTGCCTAGTGGCTGCAGGGAGAGGCTCAGGCAGAAGCTCTTGACACCAGGGGAATGCAGAGGGGCCCCTCAAAGGCTTCTTGGCTCTGGATGCTCCTAGTCGTGCTTGAGGATGAGCCATTAGAAGACATACTCACCCAGCCCAGCCTGAGGGCAGGTCAGCTTGTGGAGGTTAGTCAGGTAGTCGTCCCTCTTCTTGATGAGTTTCACCTCCTCATCCAGGAAGTGGTTCTCCAGAAAGTCACAGAGATGGGAGTCTGTGCAGTCAGAACCCAGGATATGCAGACCCCAAAGCACCTGGTTCAGATTCTTATTCAGGGCCATGGTGGCTTCCATGAGGTCCAGGGCTTTATTCCGCTCACCTTGGGAAAGTTTCTTCATGTCCTGGGAGAGGGTGTGGCTGCGGTGCTGGTTTTGCATCTTTAACCAGGCTTGGCCAACTTGCCAACTTGCAGAAGAGTTAACCCATGTCCTCCAGAGCCACGTCATCGCAGTCAAAGTAGAAGCCCCAAGAGAGGCAGGTGTAGGAGCCCTACAGATGCAGATTGACCAGGTGGTTGATGGCGGTCTGCCTCAGTGGAATAATTCTGATGGATCTGGGAGCTCTTGCTTGGTTGGCAATAAGGAGCTAACCACCGAAAAACAGTGTTGGCTTGTCCCAGAGGTTGTGACTGGAAAGGAGGTTGGAGGGTGAGCAGAGGCTGGAAGAAGGGAGTCCCCAGGTATATTCTGTACAAACACTGTTGAAGCAAGATCAGATCCACCAGACGACCAGGCCTGCTGCATAGATTAGTTCTGTATTACCTCAGCCTTTCCTCTCGTGCCGTTTTTCAGGTTCTCCTTACTATCGGTTACTTATGACCTTGACAGAGTGGAGACTGATGGGGCATCTGAGGACTGTAGTTCAGCGAGGAACTTAATTTTACTACCAGGGCTTTATCCTTTGCTTGTTCTAAGACCAAGAGCTCAGAATAGCAGTCAGAGGATGGTTAGAATTCCCTTGCTATTTGGTAGAGACTCTCAGTTTTACGTTAGGTAGTGTTGCTCTTCTGAACCGTGGGGAAGGTAATTGCTGCAGCCTGCAGTTCCTCCTGGTCCTAATGCTCTACTGTAATGTTCACGGCTCAGTGAAACTGAGCAGCAAGGCATAGTGGGAAGTGTTGGCTTTGGAGATTGATTAATGTGAATTTGTATCCTGGCTCTGCCACTTGAGTGAGTTACTCTAGTCATTTTCCACCTCAAAGCCCTCATTTAAAGAGAGAATCCTGAAATTTAATCTTTCAGAGTTGTGAGGATTGGTTATAACATATTTGAAATTCTGTAGCGTATATTAGCTCAGTAAATGCTAAATTTTCCAAGTGAGAGTTTAAAAAAATAGGAATGTAAGTCCTTGGGAAATACTGAATTTGGTATTCAAAGTTTACTCAAAAAATTTTACTCAAGTTTATTCAAAAAATTTCTTCAGGAATATATACTTTATTAATTTGGTGATCCCTGCTTAGATAACCCCAAACCGTCAAGCTTCCACTCAGGAAAACTACAGGCCACCAACCTATCATACTGTTTTCCAGAATATGGGTTACTTCATGAGCTAGGATACATAGGAAATTGAATACAAATTCCCAAAGGGATTTTTATTGGTAGCACTTAGGATTTCTATTATCTTAAATCACTTATGCAGAAGAGTAAGTGTCACTTCATTTGAGAAATATTCAGATGTCTACCTGTTGATCCATTCTTGACCTAGAGAGATTCTCTGAATAATCGCCTTTAAATTTTGGACTATCATAGACTCTTTAATACATTAACTACATGCCTTAAATGAAAAATGAGATTGTACTCTTCTTGGAGGAAAAAAACTATGTTTGGCACCAGTTATACTCGATGAAGGAAATATAATTTGTATTCTTCTCATTTGAATTTTCTTTTTATCAATTGGTGAGTACCAAAGCTTAATTTAGTGTTTGTCTTAAGGCTGTTTTTTGCTTTTAAAAATTCAAAAGCTAAGACCCAAAGCCTTTCATTCCCAGTGCTAGTTAAACTATTTATCAATTCCTTTAAATAGAATAAAATTACATTTGAAGATTAGCCTTAGAGACAAAGTTTTAAAATAGTGAATAAAAATTAGCCTTTTATCAATAGTAATAAAAATTAATCTATGAAATGCACTTCTGCCATATTTCCGGTAGAGAGCAGCACAAACACATTTTTAGGATTGAGAACATTTGAAAACAAAAGTTAGATTTTTGGGGAAAAAGTCTGCATGACTTGATAGCATATAATCCTTATGTTTTGGTTCAGTAGTGGTAGACAAGAAGTGTTTGTAATTCTTTATTTTGAGTTCATGTTAGTATATAGCAAGTGCATCTATTTTAGGTATAGAGCCATACAGATTAAAGCCACTAGAAAGCAACTTTCGGATTTCTGCAGTATGTTTTACTCTGAAATCATAACTCTAAGATTTGAGATAATATATGTTCTATATACAATGCTTAGAACTTTGCCATGTAAATAAATATTCTTAAACTCCTTTCTACAAATTCATAAAGCGAGCTCTTCTCTCTTTTGCTTCTAGAAACACCAATCTTTTCTTAAAAGTTTTAATTTGTTTTTTCCACTACAAAATGTAAAAAAAAAAAAAGACCAAATCGGCAGTATATTCCATTTCAAAATGATACATTTACTCTACTTTTAAGTTTTGAAGCTTCCTCTTAAAGATTGAAAGATAAGCCGTCAATAGCTATGGCTTAAAACCTAACGTTATAAATGTGTAGTCTTAAGTTTAAAGATTTAAGGTAGAAAAATTATGAAATAAAAGTATTTTAGTCAAGATTTTTTTGTATTTACTTTAGAGAGATTTCCACTCCTTTTTGCTACTTTACTCACTAACAGTTTCTATTTGAAGAGTAAAACATAGTTTAATGAGATGCTATGCACTGACATTTGAGCCACTTCTCCAGCCCTGCCAAAGGAGACTGACTGGCTATGCATGGATTACTTCCTCTGCATTGGTTAGAAGTATGTTTTTCTAATGCCAGATGTTATGTGATTATCTAAGTATAAAAATGTGATGCTCATATTTAAATCTATACATTTGAATTTACTTTTTTTATTGAGATATGATTGACATATAACATTGTGTTAGTTTCAGGTGTACAACATAGTGATTTGATACTTGTGTATATTGTTGAGATGATTGCTGATCACAAGAATAAAAGTCTTGTTAACATCCATCACCACACGTAGTTACATAATTTTTTCTTGTGATGAGAATTTTTAAGATCTTGCATTTATGATGCAATAAATACTTATTTGAAATTAGTAAGAATAAAGCATTTCCATTAATTTGCCTTTGTTTCTTTCACCTTGTTTTGAAATTAAGCATATATGGTTAACATTGTAAAAACGTTACTGCTTGATTTTCTGCTTTCTCAACTAGAAAGAAAAAAGCCATGCAGAAATGTGTTACATTGAGAAGGTAGGAGGTGGTAAATGGATTTCGGTTGTATGTATTTTTCCACTCCAAGTACCTGGCCATCTTTTTCTATTAGATTGTGAGCTCTTAGAACACATGAATGTCTCTTTCCTTCGTTAAGTCCCGGAGCACTGATTATAGTAGGTGCTCAGAATAGTAAACATTTTTGACTGGCTGACTCCAGTTCAGACTCTAGTTTAAAGTTCTAAAATAGAATTGCCAGCATTTTTGTACTGAAAAACTGAACAAACAAGCAAAAACAAGCAAACAAAACCTTGCTTCGGTATCACCTCAGACCACATTAAAAGTGAATCGAGGTCAGTAAGGCATTGACTTCATGGGGAAAAAATGGAAAAATGATATAGATTTATTATCCTCTAAGACTCTGGGGAAATCTTTCAAGTTTAGTAACATTACTTATGAAAGGACTAGAAGTCTTTTTGTCAGTATCTTCTATAAGTTATCAAAGCCCAAATTTGAGTTCAGTTGAGTTATAGGCAATACTTTTAATTCTTTGACTTTTGATAAACAGGACCAGTGCTTTCAGACAAATAAACAATTATTTTGCTGTGAGAGCAATTGAAGAACATTATGAAACATAAAATCTTTCATGTATTGTCTTTTAAACTATACCTATATCAAGTATTCCTAAGGAATCTTTCTCATCCCTAAAAGGAATTTGATAGATTTCTTCCAAGCTCAATCTTGTAGAGCAATTAAGAACTATATTTTACCCTGTTCTAGTGACTTTTCATTCCTGAATTGTTATTTTCACACCCAGTTCCTGTAACGTGGTTAATATAGCTAACCAGCAACGTGATGAAGGTTAAACTCATTTAAATGTTTGTTATCCAAATGAGTATGTGCTTTAAAAAATAGTTTCTGTGGCATTGTTTTCTTTCTGTTAGGGTAGATAACAGCTCTTTAGCCAATATGTATATGAGGATCTTTTTCCTCAACAATATATGATTTTCAGTAGTTTAATATATTGAATAAGGAAGACTTAATGGTGGAAATTATATGATAAAATTTTAGGTAAAGAAGGAGATATAATTTGAGAGTGAGGGGACGTTCTTAGTACTACCAAGTTATAGCTATAGTTAGTTTTTGGTTATATGTTCTGAATATTTCCGTCTGTGTCCACCTCTTCATTTCCTGCTCTTTCACTGAAGTATGTTTGCAGAGACGTATATTTTATCTTAGTTTTTTAGGTGGGTTGTCTTTGTATTGTTCCTGTGGACTTCTTTTTCATGCATGGATTACATTTATTAAAAGATAAATTGAGTTAGTACTCAGGAGATATGTCAGCAGTATTGGAAAACTGAAAAGTCACTGGTATGGGTGTTAAAATCCTCATCTCTCATCTATAAATGAAAACCGATAAATGAGGACTCCTGAAAGTTCTGATGGTATTGTTCCCAGTCTCAGGGGTATTTATTTCAAATGTCTTTCTAATTATAAATAGTAAAGCCTGTGATGACATCCTTGAAATTAATTTGCTGTATTTCTTTTTAAGGAAACGTCCCTGCTTTTCTACTCTTAACTGCTAAAATGATATTGATTCCTTTCTTAATAATAATTTTTGTGTTTTTTCTCTTTTTTGGACAGAGGTTCTAAAAGACTATATCAAGCCAGATGGGAAATGTTTGGAATTGTTTGCTCGAAATTTACAGCCAGGTTGGACTAGTTGGGGCAATGAAGTTCTCAAATTTCAACATGTGGATTATTTTATTGCTCTGGATTCTAGAAGCTGACTATGATCTTAAAGTTATGATTTTCTTCAGTTTTTCTTCACCACTTCTCCTTTTATTCTAACGGATTTTTCCTTTTATTACCAACCAGTGTGCTTAGACATGTAAACAGGATTTGGTTTTTTAGCAAAATGACCAGAAGTGACTAGCCTTCATGTAATTTTGAGATGAATTTGACTTCAATCGCAGTAGTATTCCACATTATTCTAGAGTCAGTACAAATAAAGAGGTAAGCAATTCGAAGGATGGCAAGACTTTGTTATTTGAAAAAGTTCACAAAGCATGCACTGTGGACCAGAGGTGATAATTCTGCCTATGGATGTGTTTTGTTTGGCCCATACAGTGTTGTAAAAAATTTGAACCATCTTTCTAAAATATCAGGAATTTCACATAAAAGTCCAGATTTCTGCTCCTCTTTACACATCAGAAGCTCTGGCTACACCGTGGCTGGTGTTCTTTCCTGGCATCAATCTGCAGGACCCAGTGGTGGCAACTCACATGGGAAAGACGGTGCTCTCCAGTTTACCACAGTACCACTTGTTCCCTGCTACTCACTTATATTGTTTACTTGACCCTATACAACCCGAATTTACAACCTCTGTTATGTTCTGGGAAAAGTATTGAGACTTGCAAGGTACTACATCATTGTACTGAGTTTACGAAACATTTTTGGAGGGTTTTAAATTGCATTCAAGGTCACTTTTAAGTACTTCTTAGTTTTGTTTGTTTTTCTAGAAAAAAATTAAAAAATATTTCTTATAAAAAATCAGAAAGTAAATACTGTTTATGATTATGAAAAACATATTTATATTATTTACAAATTTTCTACAAATAATTTGTTTACTAAGTAAAATGTTTACACTGAAATTATTCTTTGAAAAGCATGTTGACTTATTATGTATAACCTTTTAGAAACTCTTGAAGTATAATTTTCACGTAATAAAATTCTCCAATTTTCAGTGTAGAGTTTGGTGAGTTTTGAAAACATATATATGGTTGTCTATCACCGTAATCATGATATAGAACATTTCCTTTACCCCCAAAACTCATATGTCCCTTTTCAGTCAGTGCCCTCCTCCCACCCCTGGCTTGGCAAACAATGATTTGTTTTCTATCATTAGTTTTGCTTTATTATTATTATTGTTATTTTTGGTGAGGAAGATTGGCCCTGAGTTAACGTCTGTTGCTAATCTTCCTGCTTTTTTTTTTCCTCCCCAAAGCCCTAGTACATAGTTGTATCTTCTAGTTGTAAGTCCTTCTAGTTCTTCTATGTGGGATGTCACCACAGTATGGCTTGATGAGTGGTGTGTA